GGGCAGTAAGCCAGTAATTCCTTAAGGATAATGGTTACACATTTACCTTATCAAATCCTTTCTGGTTTGGTTTCTGAATCTGCAATTGAATTTTCTGACATCATGAAACAAATCTAAGTAGCAGAAGCCATCAGAGTAGAACAAAGCAAATCATAACACAAGAGTCCACCAAATGGTCAACCAAATTAGCCAATCATCAGTTCAGTACATATAAATATGTGTTCCCCAATCATTTGTAGAACAGATTCTTCTTTTTTCTTCAATTGCATCAAACAAAACCCTAAAGTGTTTCTGGGGGATATTACAGAATTATTTCTGTTATGTCAAACTGGCTGTGTAAATCCTAGAGGAATATTGCCATTAAATCCAGCAGCAATCTAGTAGGGGCAGTAATTCCTCAAGGATAATGATTGCACTATGAAAGCTTGTTCGCTTTCTGTATCTGCAATTAAATTTATTTACATCATCAAGCAAATCTAAGCAGCAGAAGCTATATGTGATGCAGAGCAAATCCAAGATATAGCCGAGTCATTTATGGATCAGTGGGAGAAAGAGGAAGGAGATGGAAAGTTTGGCATAAAGAAAGGGGACAGAAAGTTAGGCGACCCTCCATGCGACCTGGGTCACTTGACAAGTCATGTTACTGTGGAATTGAAAAAAGTAGCTCATGCGACTTCATACGTGACTGGGGTGCCTCCCAGCCACATAACTCTCTGGAATGAGAAAGAAGGTGTAATGGTGTATGACCACATACGCAACTTGGGTCGCATACCCAGTAGCATGTGAGGCCTAACGAGTTTTTCAAGTTTGTTTCTTTATTTAATTAATTGTTTTTTCATTCTTCCTAGTTGGTTTAGGATTAGTATTTCGTTTGTCCTAGTTAGGTTCTAATAATTTGCTATTCTAGCCTATAAATAGGTCATTTGTAACCCTTAGATTTCATATTCTAATTTCATACATTGATATCAAGAGTTTTCTCTCAATCTTGGATTTATTCCGTTTTCCGTCTTGCATCAATATGGATAGAACAAAGAAAATGTAAACAAACACAAGAGTCCACCAACAGGGTCAACCAAGTTAACCAATAAGACAATGGGAGGTAACCCAACTAAGTAGCCCACCAGTCATGTCACTCGATCCAAAAGCGCTTCACAAGAGACCACTAGTTATGGATCTGCTTCAGGAGGCAACTCCTCGGCGCCCAAAAAAAGATGCATCATACTCATGATCATGAGAAGCCAAGTAACACAGCCAGTCCATCCACAATTTAAGTAAATCCAAACGATATAATGATTGAAACTCTCCATGATTTAATTTTTGTTTCCGTTAAGATATGTTAGAGACCCCTTTTGCCTCGTCTCCTGGACTCTTGACATTGACATTTTCCTTCTGAGGCCCATTTTACGTGGCAATGTACTACCATCTGTGGCATGGCACCATCTTCAAAATGCTTCATGTATTTATATCTATGCTTAATCTACTCTACTTTCCTATATAAATGCGTAGTTGTGCCATTTTTATCTCGTTAAGGTATCCCAATACACCTATAAGCCATCTTACTTTGAGTACATTTTTTTGAGCACATGCATAATAATTATTGCCTCTTACAAAAAAAAAAAAAACTCGTATGACACTCTGATAACCACATATTTGAACCCATAGCTATAGTCAAAATACCTTCATTTATATTGATTTTATATATTTTATGAGCTACCTAATCCCCCTGCTGTTATGTTTATTGATAAATAGGAGTGACAAGGGGTGAAAATGGTGAAATAGTGCCCATGGTACTTTTTGGGCAACTTAAGTCGAGCCAAAAGTCGCATAAGCCCTTGTAGAGCATAATTTTTCAAATTTTTGCAAGGCTGATCATATTTTCTCAAATAATTGAAGGCTTGGGCAAACGAACCAAACGACATAGGAAGACGGTTTTTAGGGCCTTTTAAGGTTTGGAAGCTGCCATTTCTTAAATCTTAAGGAGATCGATCATTTTTCGGCAGAGAACAAAGGGAGGAACAAAGGAGGCAATTTTGGAGGCTTCAATCACGTTTTCTTTCCGTTAATTAGGTAACTTAGGTTTTAGGTCTAATATTTGCATTCCAAGTTAGTATTTTTCTTTTCCGCTCAGCAATGTGATTGTAATCATTTGAAGCTTGGATTTGTGTTGAGACTTCCAATCTGAATATGGTCCCCTTCATGTTTCATTTATGTTAATCTTATTGAATATCTTCATCATTGTTTGGTAGTTCAAATTGATAGGGTCCACTGATTTGTGTAATGTAACTTTGAATTTCTAATCGAAATTGAGGATTCGTAATTGTTATTAGTTTCGATAAAGTAGAAATCAACACTTGAACGACCACCAGATTATTTGGAACGTTTTATAGGTTTTCATAATCTAGCTTAAATGAATGGGTGTCAATCATTAGATAGAATTGGTGTTTATCTAACTATTAATGCAATTAGTAGCTCAATTTCTATGATCGTAACCAGAGTTGTTTTAACTAATTAGAGACTTGTTATAAAGCTTCTCATGATAGTCTAATCATAAGGACAAACAAAGTGTACGGTGCATATCAGCACTTATGGCCAATTTAGAATTGATCAAGAAAATGTGTTTGGGAAGTTATACACAAATCTGAACTTCAATTGGATTATAACTCATTGTTGGAAGCTTTCTTTTTATTGTTTATCGTCTTTAATTTTCATAGGCTTAGTTTAAAATCTCAACCCAAACCCTTTCCCAAATTTACATAAAGCGTAGAAGTCAATAATCTTTCATGGCCAATCCCTGTGGATTCGACGCTGATTGCCACTATTGCAATTTAGGTTGTAATTTGAGGTAATGGGAAAATTATTATTTGTCGAGATCGACACCGTCACACTGTTTTTCTGCTAATAGTCAAGTGCATGTATAATAAATCACTACGCGCCTCCAACTTAGCATGAGTATCTTTTTGTCATGTACCAGAACCCTTTTCTAATGCTAATCCATATATAGTGCAACTCATAACCATAACATTAATTGTAAATTTATTAGTCCCAGCTAAAGATTGATGAGGAATGCTTCCCGTACATATAACAACGTGATGATACTGAATATGCACCACTAGAAGGAAGTGGGGAAGAAGAATGGGAAAGACGACTAAGACGAATGGAGAGAAACACTTTCCAAAAAAGGTATATTCAAGGATGAAGAATCTCAAATGAAACAAATACAGTACCAGAGGGCAGAGGCACCAAGTATGGTACTAAAAATAGCAACTACTAAAATGGGAGGCAAAGGACCACAACCACAAGAATAGAGTAATACTTTTGGTGTAGCGTACAACTTAACTTACTAATGATTAATATTATTCCGAATCGGCCATAAGGATAGTAGTACCAAAATTAGGTGTGTTCATCTAAATCGCCAAACTGTATAAACCGACCACACCGCAAAGCGCAGTTTAGAACTTCTGCGATGCGTTAGCGATTTGCATTTTTACCGGACCGCACTACGCGGTGCAATTTTTAAGTTAACAAACAGCGCTTCAAACCGCACCACATCGCACATTATATATATATATATATATATATATATACCAACTTATATATAACATATATAGGATAATTGGGGTAATTTATGTAATATTTTTAGTCTGAGGTAAAAAAAATTACTTCTTAGACTATTCTTTATTATGTAATATGTATTTAAGAATCAGACGCATTTAAACTTTATATTTGTTTGGACTATGGTCAAGTTATCGACTTACTGTTGATTTGATAAAGAAGTTTTAATCTTATAATTATTGGATTGTAGGCATTAAGTGTGTTAGGTACAAACCGCATAAACTACACTACACCGCATTTCGCAGTATGCATTGACAAATCCAAGAATTAATTTTGGTGACTGGGGATAGATTTTAATATAATATTGTTGCCTTATGGTGATACTCCGAAATTCGGTTTTCATTTGGACATATACCAAGAAAGATAGTTCAAATCAATTTCCTAGGCATTGAAGGAGTAGAGCTAGTTTGCAGAATACCAACACTATTCGGTCCGGTATTGATACTTTCCATCTTCTAAAATCTTTCCACTTTTTCTTACCGAAATAATAAAACAAGTTACATATCAATAAACTGTGACCTATCATTCAAAACAATATAAACAACAATAACATTAACACATAGGCTGATTAAGATGCTCTTAAGTCTTAACATCAAAGTCAAAATCAAACTGTAACTTTAACAATTAGCAAATAACTTCACATATAAATTAGCCCAAATATTTGATAAACATAATATATATAAATAAGTAAATAATACTACCATTTACCATATTAACATAAAACTCCTAACAAATAGCATCAAATTGTAGTTATTTATTTATTGAAAAAACAAAAACAAATAAAAAAGTAAAAGGGTTAGTCAGTTAGTGGACGTGGGTTTTCAAAGGAATACATGTGTGGAGCTCAAAAAGAGATTTCAACTTTGAGTTTTGGAGAACTCAATGGTGTCAGGCCGTAAATTGAATGGTGTCAAGAGGTTAAGTTCATGGGAAAATTTACAAATCAGGAGATTAAATTGAAAGGAAATTGATTTTTCTTGTAAGTTCGCTGGGTCAAGAGGCCCCATCATTAAGCTGTGACTCCGCCACTGACGGAGCAATTTTTTGCAGTTTGAACACCATGAACACCCCTAACCAAAATATAATATTTAAGCCATATTGACTTTTCAATAAAGTACCCATCTTTCAGGCTCCCACAACCTCATTCTAGTAAAGAAAGTATCCTTGAAGTGTGTTATTAATGAACCTTATGCTGCTACTAGACATTAGAAAAGGCCCCATGTATGAGCACTGATCATGCTAATATCTCCGTGTTAAAAAATACAAAAAAAAAATTAATCAAGCCTATGAGACAAGTCCAGTTCACAACAGAACTAATAACAATGAATGATCAAAGAATCAAAAGTTAAAAAGAGAATTAAAAAAAAAGATGGAAATGAATTTTATACCTTGCTGGGCCTGCCCACAGGTTTTCCAGTCAGTTTATTATTGGCACCACCACTTAAGGAAGGCCGACCAGACCTTCTTGAAGGCAATCCACTCTCGCTAATGCCACCATTGACAGCCACATTTTGTGCAGGTCTCAAACTTGGTCTGCCTACAGCCCTCTTGGGCCTTCCTCTTGGCCTCAGCACATTCCCAGATAAAGGCACAGTCACAGGTCCAATATCGATTCTCTTTGGTCTACCACGACCCTTCTTGACTCTACCACCATTTGTGCCCATCAGAACTGACATCATTTTAGGCTTCCTTACTGGACGCCCAGACCCTGTCTTGCGTGCCTGAATTTCACCACCAGAACCAGCAATATCACCACCAGGACCAGCCACATCAAACCCACAAGAACCAGCAACCTTTGGTGGACGACCACGGCCCCTTTTCGCCACCACTGACGTGTTCTCCGTTGGTGGAGGCGATGGAACCACAACACCATCATCACCCAATCCTAGTGAAGCAAAAAGAGGCTCAGCGCCCCCTCCAGAATTTCCTTGAAAGTCTGAACCAGAACCATAATGGAGGTGAAGATCTTGGCCAGTAGGAGCTAAATGTGTTTGAGTTTGGAAATCCTGGCCAACACCCACGTTGTATTGAAACTGGGGTTGATAAGGTGGGACATCAGCATCAAAGGGTCGTACATTTGGCAGCGGATCTTGTACCACGAACCCAGAATCAGGTCTCAATTTTGGAGGACGGCCCGGCTTTCTTTTTAACAAACCAAGCGAATTTTCGGCATTAACACCAGCAGTAGTAGCAGTAGCATCAGTAACATTAGAAGTACCACCAAAATCAAGGGAAGGATGGTAACCAGTGGATGTAGGAGGTTGAAAAGGAACAGATCTAGGAGGCAGCATGTAAGAATGTTTGACCATCATGAGCTCACCCTGGTTCTTCAGACGTTTCAAGTGGTGAGTCAACAAGACCGAGTGAGTCGGTGGTAAATTAGTGTACTCTTTCTCTATGTATTTAGATATAGCTTGTCTACTCGACCCATCTTTATCTTTTAGAGCAGTAATTGCAGCTGTTATCATCTGATAAAAAACAGAAATAAATTTACAGACCTAATTTAAAACAATTATAAAACAGTTCCAACACAATTAGACGACGGTAAGTTGAAGAGAGAGTTGTTACCTCGGCGTAGGGTGGGTGCGCATGAGTAGACGGCGGAGGAGATGCGTCGGCGACGTGATCGGAGGTCATCGGCGGTAGATCCGTATTTGGGTCCATGGAGAGAGGCTGATAAGGATAGGGAAAGGGGTTGATGATGCCCTTTTAGTTCTTTGTTGGGGATTGGGTGTCACTCATCACATGAAACTCATTTTATGAATAAATGCCACCCAAAAATACATTAATTTCAACTATGCCATTATCTTTATTAAATTTAAAGTTTTTTTTTTTTTTGGATATATATCATTTTCTTCAACAAACTTATGTTGTCTTCAGATAATTGAATAATATAAAGCCTATTCTATTTATTCGTAATTGATAATGGTATTCGCATAATGCAACGAGATATATCTCGATTTTAATATTTTGTGTTTTTTTTTGTCTCGGTCGATGTTATAATACGATTTTATATGATTTTAATAAAACAATAATATTTTTATTTTTAAATAAGATATAAATATGAAAACATCATAAAGAATTGAAAAAATATAGATATTAGTACCAAACTAACTATTTAAAATTTCTTTTTTTATGTATTTCTTCAATTCATTTTTTTATTTTTTGTTTAATATATTTTTTTATAAAGATAATAATTAAGTATTTTGTTATAATTCAATGATTATCCTAATTATATTTATCTACAGTTAGTTACACAAATTCAAACATGAAGCTTTAATAAGTTGTATTTATACACAATTTACTTGTAATCTTGAATTTTAAATAATATGCATCAATAAACAGTATTTCATGCATAAAAAATGGTTTTTAAGAATTTTTGTTAAATATTTTATAATATAGTATAGATAATCGTATTCTCAATACTTTTAACATGGGCTCAATATTAAATATGTTTGATTTAATCTGACTATTAAATATCATGGATATTTACGAATTAATTTGTTTCATATTCTTACGCTTTATTTTTTTCACCTTTAGCATGTTAAAAATAAATAATCATAGTTAATGAGAATACATTAAAAATCGGTTTTCTTTTTTATTATAAATACATCATAATTTTGTTTTCAATATGTAAAAATAAGTTTATTATTAAATATTTATAGATCTAATAATATTATAAAATAGTGTGTGTATATATATATACGTACAATTTACACTGGCTGTATCTATAGTATATTAATAAGCATGTATAACAATCTGTAAAAAAATCAGGTATAGAAATCTATGTGAATCCATATGAGGTATTCGTACGTATATTTATTCAAAATCTATACTTAGCTACATTGTACATGTATACAACTAGCATCGGGATGAACAAAGAAAAAAATGGAACATGATTGACATTTTAAGTTCTCATTTTAAATTGAGATGCATACTGTTGCATCACCCGGTTCACTTGAAAGCCGAGTTCCGGTTGTGAATCAGCGGACAACGGAGAGTGCGACACGTGTCACCTAACTTCAGGGATTATTCATCATGAATAATTTATCATTCATGATGAATGTATATTATTCATTATGAATAGTGAATCAACTTAACATGGATTATGATCGTGTATTATTCATCATGAACGTTGTATAAATTCATCATCAAAATAGTTCATGAACTTCACCTTCGTTATTCATACTGAATGCTCTCGTTATTCATATTGAATGTGGACATCAGGGACACGTGTCGCGTTCTCCTTTGTTCCCTAACTCACAGTCAAAAATCAGTTTGCAATTGAACTTTTCCTTTATATATATATATATATATATATATATATATATATGAGATTACCATAAATTAAAGTATGTTGAACAACATTTAAAAACAATCATAGTTTTATCAGGAATAAAAAATAAATGAAAAGATATGATGTATGGTCAAAATTAAAATATGAAACAGATAATATGTATGATCCATCAATCAACACGTATATTTCATTAGAAAAAGAAACGAAGGTCAATTCTTCCTTTACGTCTTTTTCTATATTTAGTTGTATATTTATAAGATAATATGTATGAACCATCAATCGATGTGTTGTTGTATGTATTTGAATCAGTATGCTGTAATATTATGTCTGTTGTGATATGATCTTGTGTTTTATTTGATATTATTTCTTGTATTTTATATTTTATAATTGATATATGGAGTTATGTTTATATTCATTTTATATTCGCATTTGAAACAAAAAGTTTCAACGAGTATAAATGATATGAGATGATGCTTCGGTATTGACTAGACGGTGAAAGATCGTGTGAGAAAAAAAGTTAAGGTGAGAAGCGTAAAAAATGATATGGACCATTGATCATCTTTATTCTCAAACTCACCCATAAATCACGCTTAATATGAGAATTGATCTGGTGCATCTCATCTTAATGTGCATCCAATGGTGCAAATCAATTCTTATGTTTCTCATCATAACTCTCATTCTTACCAAAACACAACCCTTGACTAAAGATATGCATATATATATATATATATATATATATATGTGTGTGTGTGTGTGTAGGGGTAAATTCTTTTGTTAACCCAATTTATGGTATTAACTTTGTAAACGATCACAACCATTCATCTTGTTATTAACTTTGTAAACTCATCACAACCATTCATCTTGTTATTAACTTTGTAAACTCATTACACTCATTCATCTTGTGAATCAATAGACGACGATTATGATGACAATTTTGTAATAACTAATAATATAATACATTATCATCTAAGATGAACATACATGAACAAGAGTATTATTAGAAAAAAAAAATCATAAAGTTTGTCACTGCCCATTAATTACATTAATGTTCATATGAACATTAATTTATTGTCATTAATAATATAAAAAAAAATATCTGTCATTAATTAAAAAAATTCCATCATTATGAACATTAATATACACATGAATATCTTCCCCTTATGAGCATGGGTTCACTTATGAACAGTATGATTATGTTCATTAATATTTGAACAATGTTCACAGAAGTTCATTTGGCTATTCCACCTTTTCATATATTAACAAACAATGAACATTGTACAAATTAGCCGTTTTATGTCATGCCTTTAAAAGTACGGTGTCCTAAGTCGTAAGGTCTCCACCACGACACACTCACGTCATTTTGAACCTTGATTTTCATTCATTTATCAACTAGTGTTTGACATCGTACGCTGCACAATGACAATAATTTTTTTAAAATTATTTAAGTTAGCTAAATGAATCGATGATCACATTTACATATCAAATTAATAATAATCAATAATTACTTTGATATATGAATCCAACTTATTATTATTGATTGTTATATATATATATATATATATATATATATATATATCAATCTTTTATCATATCAAACTTTGTAATTGGTTCAAAATCATAAAAAAACATGTGAAAATAAAAAAAGATAGAGACAACTTATATATATATCTATACTATATTATAAAGCATTTGGCTAAAACTCTTAAACTCTTAAAACTCTTAAAAACTCTTAAACCCGTTCATCTCTATCCGATTTCATCCCATATCTGAATTCGTGTAACTAACTGCAGATAAATACAATCAAATACAGGATAAACATCTTATTTTAAATATAAAAAATCT